TTTGAGAAGTTAGTGACTGCTTGTACGTCATCCTTGATTTTGAACTCAGGTTTGGCTTCTTCTTGATATTGGTTTGTGACTTTCCTTGTTCTTATTGTTTGTTAATTTTGTTAAATATGTTTCTAGTTTTATTTGGTTGTGCCCTAACTGTGTAGTTCTGTTTACTGTGGATGGATTGTTATGGTTTGAGTCTGTTAATTTGTAGGTTGTTTTTTTTTTTTTTTTTTAACTGATTTGGTTGGTGGTGAGTGGTTCCCCTGTCATAGCCAAGTGAATGTGTTTAGTCATGTTAATGTTTGGGGGTTCCCCTTTATTATTGTTTTGATACACAATGTAACAGTTTGTCACAAACTAAACTCTTTGTTATATTGCAATACTACATTAAATGCTACAATATTCCATTTAAATATCCTTGTTCAGACCTCCTGAAACTGGTTCTTTAAAGTGGGTGGGTGGGGTTTTTTAATATATAAACCTAGTATAAAAAATTCTTTGACTTTTCTCCTTGTAGTAAAAAGAACTTGCCTACGGTATTTTACTCCCTACAACACATCCTGCTAGAGCTGCAAGTGACATCACAGCAAGGTAAAGTTTATAGTTCTTGCCTTTCATTATACACAAGTTGTTTTGATGCGTCTTGAAGTTTCTTTCAATGCCATGATATAAGACAACTTTAGTTTGGTTTTTGCCCACTTATTACACACCTTTTTAATGAAAACTGAAATATTTTTCTGCTTTTCAGTTGTGCTAAAATAAACTTGATCCACTATTGGCACTGTTAAAATTTAAAGTATTGTCACGCGTTACAAATATTTTGCCTTGGTGTTTCCCTCCATATTTAAACAGATGGCATCGGGTCTGTATTTCACTGTAGTCCTCTGTTTGACGAGTGGACTATGGGCTGAGGAAATTGTAAGTAATATGGACTGTTATACTGAGTCTTAAGTCTTGTGCCATCAGAGTTGTTTAAAGCCTTGCATATTTCTAACATGCCATTATAGGCCAAATATTAATAATGTCACTGTAAACAATGCATGGTTTTGTGCAAGGTAGTGATTAACCGTGAACTCAAAGTCTAGGTTGAGTTTAGTACTAATATTTTCCTTTTGTTCACAGGGAGGAGCAAAGCCATCTAACGGTTAGTACCTCCTAGAACTGTGGTTGCTCAGAATCTGTCCAGTGTGTTGATAGATGGTTTTCTGTCATATCACTTGCTATCAGTACTGGGCTAACAAGATGATTCAGTTGATTTGTAGCACAGTTCACCGTATAACGGACTTGTTTTTGTTCATCAATAGGATTAAAACTGTGAAACGAAACTTCTCATG